TGTGCATCCTGTGCTTTGCAAGCGCCCAGTTCGATCGGCGTCCGTCACAGTTGTGTTTTCGCGAAACGGCATGTGTTTGCTCAAAGCTTATGGCTGTCTGTGAGTAATATATCCTGCTAAAAGGCGTGACTTTTTTTGCACGTGCTTAGGTGCATTAAAAGAACCGTATTTCAGTAGGGTACTGCCTAGGAGACTATATAATTCGAAACAAAATACAAGACATCCATCGACCAACGCTTGTTATCCCGACCATCCGACAAACCTTTGCGTTTTGTGACGCCACGCAGCACCTACGGATGTCAGCCATTGACACTGGCGAAATTCGGGGTGCAGTTTCGTACATAGGCTCATGAAAGGTTTAATTAATAACGGGAGATCATATATCAAAATAATAATGACGTTTGTCTATAAGAAGGGTCCCTCGACGTAACGAGCGCAAGAACTTAAGTACTTCCGGTTTCGACCGGACAATCCCTTTAAGTGACAAAATTAGTTCCCAAAGGGACGAAAAGTTAGACTCCAATGAAAAAAGTTAGTTCCCAATCAGATCTGTTGATCCTCAAAGGGATCAAAGTCACTCCCCAAATTGTAGACATAACACGCTCAAGGGACCAAAATTAATCCCCTGAAGGGTTAAACTTAGTCCCTGGTGCCCTGCTGTAGAGATCAAAAACACTCCTTTTAACAGATCAAAACTTCGACCTAGAGGGATCAATGCAAATAGGCTAAAAGAAAAGGAAGGGACTAAACCGGCGTTTTGCCGTTTTGGGGGGATCACTCTCAGTGATATTGATTTAGTCCCCCAAAAAAAACAAAATAGTACTCCCTTTTTTCTTTTTTTTTTTACAAGACTGTATAACGGAGCAGTGGTGCCCCGATGACCGCGGGGGACTGTCGCCATCGAAGCCCCTGGCTCTAATTAAGTTTGGGAGTTTAAAACAGAAGGAAGTGTGAATGAAGTTCGGGCAATGCAGACACCTAACACCGGTGAAGCCTCTCATCTGGGACTTTCACTCTTTCTAACGCTCCAGCGAGGGGAAAGCGCCATAACCCTTTCCCCTTTTCTCTCTCGCTCTCAAAATGGCGAAGAAGGGGGAGGAATAGTGTCGCGGTGGAAGGAAAAGCCCCGCCAAATTAGGCCCCACTATCCGGGGAAGAGTGGTGGCATTCATTGTTGCGGAAATGCCCGAGACACGTGCCGCGCGCCACTTCTGGGAAGCACATGGCGTCTGAAATCTAGCTCAGTGCTGCGCTCTGCCGCCACGATCTTCGCAGTAAATAAAAAGAAAGACGGTAACTCGTGAAATAAACAAGAGCAGAAGCCACGTGGGCCAGCGGAAAAGACGAGGGGTCTCACATGACGAGGTGGTGACCGGCGGGGCCGGGGGTGCGGGAGCCCCGGAAGGAAAGAGGCGTCCGACACGGATGGCGGCTGGTAGCGTACTCCGTTTATTCAACGGTAAACAAACATGGGGGTCAAGCGCCACGGGGACGCACCCCTGACAACACGGGCGCCCTGGTAGACAGTGGCGCCACTTGCTAGTGTATATGGAAATTGCGAAAAATTTAAATACAACAATCTTTCCATGGGCTGCACGTTGCACTTGCATGAACGTACTTTGCGCTACATTTATAACATGGAGCGGGGAAGGGGGGGGGGGGGGGGGGCTGTTACAACGGGCGATCGCCTCGAATGCCGCTGACTTTTTACTCCGCGTCACTAGTTGCGTACTGCAAAGTCGGGCGAGGGGAGAAAGGGCAAGCACTATGAAGGCCTGGGGACCTCCTCTCCTCTCTAACAATCCTAGCCTTTCCCTTTCTCCTTCGCCCTCCATTGCCCTCCTCTCCCGTCCCGCCTTCCTAGTGCTTGCCCTTTCCCTCTTCGCTTGGCGCTGCCTTCGCCTGGACTGCACACAACTAGTAACACAAAGTATATAGTGACGCCACTGAGACGATTGCAACAAGGCAATTGGCAGCCGCCATCTATCGGCTTGGGCGGGAATGCGCGTGCCATATTAAGACACTGGCGGCCATATCCGTGTGCGCTGCTGCTGAGCGCGTGCTGACGGCGAGCTTCCGCAGTCCTTTTGGAGCGTGCATTTAGCACCATCAAGGTTGCCGGTCTTAGCAGGCTATTAATGTGAGCTCGTTCTGAGCATGCGCTCTAAACAGCACCCACAAATATGGCGTCCAGTGAATACCTCCTCTAAGGAGTATTCACTGGCGGCCATTAGCCCCGAGAGCGAATTTTGCGAAAGTAAATTTTGAAAGAAAAAAAAAGAAGGGAGTATTACTTTGTTTGTTTTTTTGGGGACTAAATCGATGTCACTGAGAGTGATCCCCCAAAACGGCAAAGCGCCGGTTTAGTCCCTTCTCTTTCTTTTAGTCTCTTTGCATTGATCCCTCTAGGTCTAAGTTTTGATCTGTTAAAAGGAGTGTTTTTGATCTCTACAGCAGGGCACCAGGGACTAAGTTTAATCCTTCAGGGGATAAAGTTTGGTCCCTTGAGCGTGTTATGTCTACAATTTGGGGAGTGACTCTGATCCCTTTGAGGATCAACAATCAGGGCGCGGCGACAAGCGTCGCTGCGGTCGCCGCGCCCTGATTGGGTGAGGTGTACCGTGACGTCAGGGCGATGACTCCGCTCCGCCATCTCGCATCGGCTCGCTTCCCAGCACCGGTTTCCTGGTTTGGCGTTGTGTGCCGCAAGCTCTTCGGGGATCTCGACTTCGTTTACCCGGTGTACAAGACGTTGGGTTAGGCCGATATTGACGTGCTTCCGTACATTTTATAAGCCTTGTTGTCCCTTTTACCTTTAAAATTGGGTTACAAATCCCGAAAGCTATCGGCGGAGGCATTTCCGGCGATGAACCTCTCCTTCCGTCCACACGACAGAAGGCAATTTTGCGAGGGATCGGTGAAGCGGTGGCGCAAGTGTTTCAGAAGCTGGAATTCTGTTCCTTGCATGTTCATGATTTAGGACGATATTACATCCCGCTTACAAGGCATTTGAAGTGGCATATATATCATGGGCCTTTGGCATGGTCGGCAAATTAGCTCGCTACCCCGTTTTGCGCTGCCACTCTGCATGCGCTGGTTCGCTGATGTTTTAAAGGCTCTGTGTCTGATTATCTTTGAAGTGCCCGTGGAACAGGGTTGTTTTACATAAATGTAGCTTCTTCGTGAATTAATTATATAGTTTATACACGTATGCAGGCATATTTCTTAGAAGATGCAGAATTACTGGAAATTAGTTTGTATGGTAGCAGCAAAAACGGCCGAATTGCCCCCAGTTGCCTATACGAATTGAACTGCCTAAAATATGCACAGCAATAGTGCCGTAATTTCGAATGTTTATACTTTTTCCTGACATTTTTATTCCAGCCTTGGGTATTCGCAAAATACACCGTTTAGTCTGAATTGTCATTTCCAAATAAAAGGGACACTGCTGCAGGTCTCCAAAAGCTTCCTCAGCCTCCAAACTCCCTACAGCTGGACTCTCTGACAACAGAGGAAAACAGGAGTAAAAGCAATCATTCGAACGTCTGTCCAGTGGTAGATGCCGCGCTAGCAGCAGAAAATGTGGAACCTGTGAAGGGCGACAGTCTGCGTGATAAAAGGTTTTGGTATTTTAGCTTCAGTACAATTCGATTTAAGTAAAATCTCAATTTTAGGGCTTAAGAGACTAATAACGAGCTAGACACCTTCGTTTACGTTTGTTATACATTACTTGAGGGTTGATATAAACAAGTCCACAGATACCACCCGTGTAGTCCATTGAAATACTATCCGAATCCAGCAAAGGACAAATGCGAGCAATGTATATAATAAATGTTCCTTGTTTTTTTACTTTGCCCCTGCACTTCGGCTGTCTTGTGATTCTCCCCCAATGGCCCAGACTGTATTTAGCATGTTGCTCGAGCAGTATGCAGCTTTTCTGCTTCGGCGATCTTTGTTTAAAAAGAAAGGTACAAAACAAATAGTATACATAACCTGCCAATTCATTCAGACCATCAGCAGCATTTATTGTGCGAGATGTAAATCTATAGTGATGCTCCTGCAATTGTGGCCATATTTCTTTATTTTCATATACCAGCTGCGATTCATGCGTTGCCTGCCCTGTCAACAATGCTTAAACTGTTGGTTGAAGTTTCGCCTGTAGCTACAGACCATACCTCAATAATGGCACATATAAAAATTTACACTTCCTACGAAAAACACGCCAAAAAGAAATTAAATAGAAACGAGCGCGCCGACAGCTAGCGTCGTCACAGCCTCCACAGGGCGAGCGGCGCGAGTCGGGGAAAAATTCTCTCCTCGCCGTGACGTCACCCCGGTTTGCCGTAAGGGGGCGCCACGCGAACCCCACTTATTCGGGAAACTGACACGTCTCTCACAATAAAAGTATGGAAAATTTTGAGATGGACGCAAGAGTCTCTAGCAATATAGTTTGTTCTACCCAACTCCTTAGGTAATCATTTGTGGACAGGAATCATTCACTGTGTCAATTAGAGCTTGGTCGGTGTTATCTGGGGCCCCCTTTCTAATTACCAGCATAAAATAAAACTTAAATGCATAAAATGAAGCTTGTAAAAACACTTTGGTCCACATGCATTTCCAGCCCCCAAAGAATTCAAAGAGAGTGCGACTACACTTACCGCATCAGATTGTCAGCAGCACAGTAAATGGCACTGCAGACTGCACAACACCATACCACTATACTTCGTTTGACACTATGATGAACTGCAGAGGACACTACGAATTTCCTAAGCCAGTCCTATGCCCTGCGATGTTCACATGAGCTTCAGTAGGGGCGCAACAATGTGAAGGAACCAGAGACTGAGGAAATACGAAAGTTGACACCAAGAAGAGAAGACAAGGAGATTGGCTGGGGCAACTTGTAGCGTTTGCAGCGGTCCATCGTATCGTAAAACGAAGTATAGTTGCAAGTTTTTCTTTGCCCGGTTGTCAGAGCATAGCGAAGTGAGTGAGTCTAATTGTACCAGTTTGAACAGATTTTATTTATAAACTAAAGCTTGTGTATAGCTACAAGTATTTACACTAAATTTTCCCAACAAGGTATAGGTCCTAGAAAACATTAACGAGAGGTCCAAACCGCCAAAAATTGATGTTTTCACTTCCATAAATGAAATGTGAAAAAGAAAAGTCTTCAGAACGCAAGACGCGAGATAAGGTTGTAGATTTTCTAAATAATAATTAAAGAAAAAAAAAATACTTTCGCGCTTTTGTACCAGAAACTGTAAGTCACTCAGAGAGAACATTCTAGTTGTGCACCCAGTAAAAACGAGTGAAAAGAGTAGAATACTACCAAGTATAGAAACAAGTAACAAGTCCCCAGTTAAAAGAGCGAAAAAAGTAGAATAACAACAAGTAGAAGACTCGAGGACAAGTAGAAGATTGCAGGATTACTAAGACAAGAGAAACAAGGCGTAGACGAAGGCATCCCTCAAGGCTCCCAGGTCTTTGCACTCGCACAAGACAACGACTCTTCCTCGATTTGGCTTTGCCACGGTGGAGTAGCGACACGGCGGAGGGTTGGTGCACGAATCGGCAGCACTACTTGAGTGGAGAGAAGTCCGTGGGCCGCATCCACCGGGATCTCATCTCTCGGATCAGCGGAACTGCAAATTAAAACAGACGCTTTTTCCCACCGACAGCCACACGAGTGCAGAGACTTTACGAGAGCTAGTCGAGGTGCCTCATGCTCCCCGCAATACAGCAGCCGTAGGAGACAGATTGACCAAGTGTACAGTTAGGGCGGTCTAGAAGAGGAGGCGTGACTGTGGCACGGGCGAAGGCAGTCCCGTGATTCGGCACACGGAGCGGAGTAACACCGGTGCCTAGATGGCAGTGCCCCAAAGTTCTAAATTTGAGATGTCGAGATGTCAAAATAAGGAGGAGGAGATATTTTGAAGGGGGACATTAAAATGATTTTAAACATAATTTCGCGTCTCCAGGACGTAAAAATAATATATTTAAAATTAATTTCAAAGTGGACGTCAAAATAGTCACCACGGTACTTATCCTCCCCAGTCCAGTTTCAGTTTTGGTATGGAGCAGTTGCGTTTTTTTACTTAATTAAAGATATATGTGATGCTGTAGCAAAATATTGGTTGGGTAGTCTTCTAACACAATATTAAATCGCGTGGCAAAAAAATTTTTTTAGGATGGGTGGGGGGTGTTAGTGTTCTTTTCCACCAGCTTGCCTGCACTTTCGCTTTTACTTTCAATAATCCTATATGTGGGTACACTCCTGCACAACAAGAGTCAGTTGAAGGTTAAGAAAGATGGGACAATACCCTCCCAGAAAGCTCTCTGCTTGTCATGATTGCTGGTTTCTCTTCTGCAGTTGCCTTCTCTCCAGCGTTCGCTTCGCTAAAGCGGAAGGACTGGAGGTATTTGTGAGAAAAGCTTGTCCCACTTTTTTTAACTTATACAGGGTGTTTCAGCTACCTTGTCCCAAAACTTTAAGAAATCTGGTGCACACTATGTGTGTCCAACCGATACAGGGTGGAACTGACAAGGGGTGATTTGGAGTAGCTCTCGTAGTAGGATAGAACGGGTCTTGGAGCAGAGATTCCCACTTTTGGAGCAAACAATTTTGAGCTTTGATGTCAGAAAATTTTATACAATCTCTTTGAAAGTTAGCTTGTGGAAAATACTGCGGTTGTTGGAGTGTTCGGAGTCTATTTAAAGTGCCATACCTACAGGGAACCTGGCTGCTAGATTTTTTTTTTTTTTTTTGATATGGCGGTAATTTTGCAATGTCTCAATTAACCTATTAGGAGTACCAATGGCGTCTTTGGTCTGTGTTTGACGCAAAAAGACAGTTGTGGCTACTTGCAGGGTTTGTATCACGCTGCTCTAGCTCGTATTCCACCTGCTACTATTCATAGAGCAACCAAACAGAGCACATATCTACTCTAACTCATCAGAATGAATAGCGCTGGCTATTCATTGCGATTGATGTGAGCACCGTTCGCACAAAAACCAAAAACTCTTCGTTAGGCATCTACAAACCATGGGTTTTGGGTTCAAAGCAAATTCAAAGTGAATAGTGGTCTTGGCCAAATATTTTTGAATCAAATATTGAATAGTTGCTGGGCCTTTCTTCAAGCCTTTGACTACTGTTACACCTTGCTTAAATTAAAATTCCGCCACGCTCACAAAGGTTGTCCCCGAGCTTATAATTGCTTACTTATGTGCTCTGTTAAATTTAATCTAGCAATATTTATAGACTGTGGCCTCAGAAAGTCCAATACTTACATTGGGATGGCAAGTAAATGACAAATTTTACATAAAACTAAACCTATAAAGGAGCCCAGTCATACCTAAATGAGGGGATTTATAAATCAGCTTGTATATGCAAATTCTTTTTGATTCTGGATTAAAGAAAAATCACAAATAAAGGACATAGGTTGTTAGAACATCGCTGCCTAACATATATGCTTGCCACAGTTAAATTTTAAAGATTTTATCGCAATGTAAATATGAACAATCACAACATTTCCTGTTTATTATTATTATTATCTCTTTAATACAGCAGGCGCGCGCCTGCACAAAACCACTTTGAACGTGTGTTTTCCGCCTCAGCGCGCGACTTCGCTGCGGCAATGCAAGTCGGGAGATAGCGGTGTCAGCTCTGCGGGTATTGCTTCTCAGCAGTGCACTGGTGCTTGAGGAGAAGCGCACAAAAGGGGGTTAACTCACCGCAATCAACATTTCGAAAAGTATGAATATCGATGTTCATTTTGAAGAGAATATTACATAGCGTATTATTTGAAACTATCATTTGAAAATTTGAATATTCGCAGAACCCTACTTGTAGAGGCGGTGGCAAATTTCGCGCGCCGCCAAGACGGCGTTTAGTTTTAGCTTATGGTATGTTGCGCTGAGCCTCGGTCATTCGTTTTGCTTTAGCGCTTGCATGTGTCTTACTTTGTTCCGTCTACTACGAACGGAGTTGTATATCCCCCACGGGGGGTCGTTGTCCGCGGGCATTGCCTCTTACCCGGGGCTCCAGACACACAAATCTACGCGGGCGTTCGGGGCAGGCACCGGAGTGCGGCTATCATCGGCTGGAGCGCCATTTCGTAAACTGGGCCGCGTCTCAAGCTCGAACGACTTCCTCGAAGACTTCGGGTCATGTTCCAGTGTTTCGTGACTTCGACTCGAGAGGCACCGGGTGCAACTGGTGTATACACGCCGGCGTGGACCCGGCATCGTGGGAATATCCACGAGACGGCTTCCCAGGCGCGCTTTTCGTTTACGCTGAGACTCTTGCCCGCGCTCCGGGGGAAAGGACGTTTGCTGGCGGGGCACGTTTCGACGATTCTCGCCTAAACCGAGAGCCAGTAGATCTTCCTCGGAACATAAACATACCGGGGTTTAGACTCTCAACCGCAGGGCCCGATCTTAATGACCACCTCGGCAACAGCAACGAACTCTCGTGCGATAGGTCGAGAGTGCGTCGGGGCCTCGACCCAATGGGATGCAGACAAAGCCCTCATTGGACAGAGCGGTTTCCGGCGCACTGTCTTAAGCCCTGACCGAGCGTGTGAGCCTCGAGTTGGAACGGGCTTGCGAGCCCCTGGCTGTTCTCCTCCCGCGGTCCGCCGCGTTACCTGCCGCACGCGGCAGCCCTTGTTCGCTGGCTACTTAGCCATCGCCCTCACTGTGCGCGGTAGGACACTTGACTTCGTGTCTCGCGATCGTAAGCCTGTGAGGCCAGTTATTCCCAGTTGTTTGATTGTATCGTGCACTGTTCAAGTAAAGTTTTGTGTTTTAATCGAACACTAAGCGGTCTTGGCCGTCCCTGCCCCAAGTCCTCGCCGCCTACAGCCAGCTCTCCAGCAACCAGCATCGTTCCACGGTCCCCCGGCCCTCGACGGTAGACACCTCCAGGGTTCCCACCGAGGTCCGGGACAACAACCTTACAACTACTCTACTCCTCGCACATAGTACTTAGGTACCCGAAAAAACAACTGTATTTTCCTCATTTTCATGCAGCAGAGCTGTTAAGGGCTAGTTTCTCCATGGTCGTGTCCATCCTCAAATGGCCTGATGACACAGATCTCTGGACAGCTACCGCCATCTATGAGCGACGGCGGCAACCAGACAACTGGCAAGACGGTTGTCTGGTTGCCACCGTTACTCATAGATGGCGGTAGCTGTCCAGAGATCTGTGTCATCAGGCCATTTGAGGACGGACACGACCATGGGGAAAAACTAGCCCTTAACAGCTTGGCTGCAAAACAATTCAACAGAAAAATATTATTTAATTTTATTTTCAGTTTTAATTTTTACAGCCCTATCTTGTTAATATGGATATGCTATATAGGCAACATTTCTGGAGACAAACTGGATAACTACAACGTGTCCCCCCCAAAAAAATTTAGTGTCATTTTCACGGCAAAAATAAACTATGCACCGCCGAAAGCTCATTCTCCACCCAAATGTGGGGCTAGCGGTCTGAAAATGATGCCAAAGTTTCAGCACTAACTGTTATCCAAAAGTTATCCGATTTTCTGAAAATTTTGATAAAAAATGGGGCCAGTTTTGGCGTGTTTTTTATAACTGGCGTCATAAAGCTCTATGTATTCGAGAGCTTTGTCGGCTGCCATGTTCCCATTAAAAATTTCAGAAAATCACTTATAACTTTTGAATAAAAAAATGAAAAATTTTTACAACCCCCTGTAACACCGAATTAGAGCGCAGCTCTTGAAGACGTTGAGGGGGAGGGACGGAGAGGAATGGAGAGGAGAGTATGCCCCTCCTCCTCATCCGTACCCTCCTCTCCTGCTCCTCTCCCATTTAGCGGGTAATTTGCGTTAAATGTCCCGCTAAATTTAGCGTGAACATTTTCCCGCTAAACTTAGCGGCGAATTTTTTTTGCTGAATTTAGCGGGGAAATTTTTTCGCTAAATTTAGGGGGTAATTTTTCCGCCCAACTTAATGGGGAAAGTTTTCCACTAAACTTTGCGGGGAACGTTTTCCGCCTAATATAGCGGGGAAATTTTTCCGCTAGTGGGAAAATTTTCCTGCTAAATACATGTTGCTGCTAAATTTAGCAGAAAGTGTTGTCCGCTAAACTTAGGGAACTTTTTCTGCTAAATTTAGCGGGGCAATTTTCCGCTAAATTTAGCGGGGAAAATTTCCGCTAAATTTAGCGGGGAAAATTTCCGCTATATACATTTTTCCGATAAATTTAGCAGGGAATGTCGTCCGCTAAATTTAGCGGGAAAGTTTACTCCACTAGCAATTTTTTCCGCTAAATTTAGCGGGAAAGTTCCACTTTCGCGGGGAATTCTCCCGCTAAATACGTTTTTCCGCTAAATTTAGCAGGGTATGTTGTCGCTAAATTTAGGGAATTTTTCTGCTAAAGTTAGCGGGAAAATTTTTTTTCCGCTAAATTTAGCGGGAAAATTTTTTCTGGTAAAGTTTGCAGAAATTTTTTCCTCTAAATTTAGCAGAGAAATTTTCCCGCTAAATTTAGCAGGGAAATTTATCCATGATGCAACACGCGCTGACGCCACGAGTTAAGGGGTGTCCAAACAGGACACTACAAAACACACGACTCCGACAAATCGTGAAAATTGAAGCAGACGCGCCTGCTTCAAGCCCGCTTCAATTTTCACGATTTGTCGGAGTCGTGCGTTTTGTAGTGTCCTGTTTGGACACCCCTTTACCCTCGTGACGTCACACGTGACAACATGTGTGACGTCATTATGTGAACTGTCCCATAATGTAACGTACAGCTACACTGACGCCGACGCCACTCATGCCGGAAACGGGCGCCTAAGAGCTGTGCTCTAATAATAGTTAGTGCTGAACCTTTGACATATGGTTCAGACCGCTAGTGCTACATTTTGGCAGAGAATGAATGTTCGGCAAGGGATAGTTTATTTTTGCGATGGAAAAATATGGAAAAAGCCAGTAAATATTTTTTTTGGGGGGACACCCTGTAATTACATTTATCTCATTTGTTGTAATCTGCCGACGGAAGCAGACGTGGGAAAATGGAAATATTTAAAACGAACAACTCGTCGCCAACCGTGATTTCGCTCGACCTTCACTTGGGATAGTAGGCCTGGCCTGACTGCCGAATGCCGGACGTTACAATGTCCCTCCGGAGCGTTCTGCGATGGTCTATTTATGGCGGTAACTCAATCTACAGGGCCTAAGGATCCTAAAAATCATAAAATTACCGTCATGCGCGGTGGATTTCCCTATTAAAATGTCTATCAAAGTCCCCGGCACGCCCCCCTTTCTGAGATGACCCCGGAAAACGGGAGGGGCATCTCTTTATGCGTCGGCCAATAGTAAGCGAAGGATTCCGGCGTCACTGCGCATCACCAACGCGGCCGACCGCCGACCCGCGGAGAAATCTCTCGAACACGCGCGGACCGTTGTCAAGGGGCCCGGAGTTTGTGATAGGCAGTCGTCGTTCGTCGCACCGCACCGTCGCGCTGCTACTGCAATACGCAGTCGCATTCCACAGATAACAAGGAAAAGTTTGACTCGTTGACGTGGAAAAATCGCAAAGCTGGTTTTGGAGCCGGGATTCACGGGAAGAAGGAACATGTGTCCCGGAAACGCACGCCAGCAGACGCCCCGGGAAGCAGACGAGCCGACGCGCCGACGCATCACCCCCTAGCAACAAGCTTGCGGGGAGAAAACATAGTTCGCTGGTTTTGGAGCGATAATTGCGGACTATGTTTCCCGCACCACAATCAGTTTACGTTTTTCTCAAACTCTAATTTACAACAAGATTAAAAAGTGTTGCGATATAATAACGTTCGCATTCACTGCGAGATGCAGCATTTCCATTGGTGAAGTTTTAGCGATGGGCAGGGAATGGGGGATCTTCAAGAGAAAATAGTCCCGATATATTTCTACTGCCATCTGCTTAATAAACGGTTTTGTAATCTAAAACTTTGTATACATATTAACTTGCACCTACTACGCAATATAACAACATAAACAGACGATCGCAGAAAGCTCCGGAGGGCCGATTTAAATGCGGCCTAACACAAACTAAATTTTTGGCTGGGTAGCTCCGGAGGTAGAGACAGCGTCCACACAGTAAGCCACTACCCTACGAGCTGATAACCGAGCAGTAGACATTTCAGGGCTTACCGCAGCAATATCGACAAAAGAATGCGTTCACACGCACCGAAGCGAGTAGTGCCCTCTATAAATGGGTGTAACTAGAATACTAGACCATTATTATGGACAATTCCCATTATAGATGCTTTTTTGAGGGAATGAAGGTCTCCCTATACCCACCAGGCAATAAAGTCTGGTTTGACAGGTGGCGCCATCTTATGGAGAATTTTTGCAATTCCAAGACGGCTCAAGCAGCAATCATTGGACCCGATCTCGAGCTTCAGTGTTCGAGCTCGTTTTCGTACCGTGACCCAGTGCTCGTGTCCAATCACTCGGTGGCTAAGCCCTCCCAAAGTTGCCCCTTTTGGCCACCAGTCGCACGGACTGCAGTCGACCGAGGCGCCTCCTATTTACCGTCCTGGTGCAATTGGCAAGACAGCACTGTACCCTCGTCCTTCCCTTTCTCTGTCTTTTCATTAAAACTTCAGTTGAAAGCAGCGCTTGTCCTGTTTTCTACTTGTCTTTTGCACTAACGATTTCTGTGATGATTAAGCAACTAGACCGTCCGCTTGTGTCGTTACAATCTCCCCCGTCCCACCTGTGTAGGCGACGCATTCGTCCCAGCCGGGCTTCCTCCAGTTGTCCTCCCGGATCTCCTTCCTCGCATGAAGGTCCTTGTACGCTGGAACCGAGTGCAGGCGGATGCACATTAGAGGGAGCCGTTTCTTTCTTCTGGCCAAGAGGAGGCAAACGAGCGCACTAGCCAACCAGGCAACGCACCCTACACATCCTAGGAGCAGTCGACGGAGGTCTCCACCACACACACTCGCAACGAGTGTTCGCTAAAACATATTATTGAAGTAGGTTTTGCTACAGCATCTTCAGAATGGTCGGTTCAATCATCATTGCAGAAACCATCTCACAATTTGCAAGTGCACCCTCTATCAGTGAAGCTGCAAGCACAAGTGGGGAGGAGAGACGTAACCATGCTCGACGTTAACTTTTTTGTGTCGTGTTGTCAAAGCTAGCGTAGTTTCTGCAAGCTCTAATACCCTAGTTACACTAGTGCTCTTAATGTCATTAAGCCAACGACAGTTGACCCAATCGCGATCGGCCGGAGTTGGGCGGCGCCAACTATCACCGAGCCGCTAACAATCATAGAGTTCAACTCAGTCGGCCACTTTCAGTTATACTCGATTTCACCTATTGATCTACCGCAGGAAAGGCTATATGCGCGAGCTCCTTGCTCTGGTGCATTAAGGGCAGCTGCCAACGCTACGAGTTCGTGCCTCTAGACTTTGCTGAGGTACAACGTAAGGTGAAACGGATTATAACTGATAGGTGTTTACCCCAATAAAGCTAAAGATGGCAGCATCTGCCGCATCGCCGTCCATGGCCAGCGCAGGCGAAGCACTTACTATTGTGCAAGACTGGGTGAGGTATCTAGAAAGTGTAGTACAGCAAATATGTCGGAAAAGCTATGGCTCAGGAACAGAGCTGCCGCTAGAACGATCACGGCATGTTGCGAAAAGCCAAAGCTAGGCGAGGGCGGCCATTGTAATGTCAGTGCCGCTAAGACTTTCATAGTGTCTCTCTTGCAACGAGGTAGAGGGGTACTTAGAGCGATAAACTAGTGTCCCGTTCACCAGGCGAAAGTGACCCCCACTTGTCTGCCGCCATGTTGTACAATTCTGACACTAGACATGTGACCGTACCAAATCCTGAGGCTTTTCTGCAAAACTGAGCCAAGATTTGTATTCCAATTGCTGTAAAGAAACATGATGAACTATATTTTCAATACTGTTAGCCCCAGAGATCAGTCTCTAGCTCTGATAAAAACCCAAAATACAGCAATGCGGCTGATGGCATCGAGTGGAGTCATTGAGAAGCTGCCAAAGTTTTTGTCGTAAAAGCAACATTTTGGATTCAAAAACAAACGAAACGTAACTTGTCTCGTCGGTACTGTTATTAAAGATCAATAGGCAATTATTTGTGAGCGGTACTTCGTTAAAATCTAGACGTAAAACTATAAGGTCACATGTCTAGTGGTCAAAAATGTGCAACATGGCGGCGGCCAATTAGGGGTCACTTTCAGCTGCCAGTTTATTGCTCTCAGGCCCTCTACCTCGTTGCTCTCTTGCTTGAATTTGTGTGAAACCTTCTGATTGTCGTTTCTTTACAAAAAGTTTATTTTGTTTTAAGTGTTTATAATAAATAAAAAGTGTGCATATAATTCATCTGCGTCGCTATTTTAAAAAAAGATAATGTGACATCAGCTTTGGTTTCGTTTCGGTTTAAACTGTGTCCCTTGACGTGCATCTCTACTGGGGTTGTTAGGCCTATGTACAGTGTAACGCCGGACAATTTAGTTCAGCTTGATGACAGTTCGGAGATGTCAACAATCGTTGGCTTAATGACAGTTAAGAGCGCTATTGTAGCTAGGGTGTTCGAGTATCAAACCTATTTGTGCTAGCGCACGGCCATGTGACATCTCCTTTACGCGAGAGTTTGTGCGAATGAGGAGCGAGACAAAGCCACGTGCTCTTGCAGCAGCGAGGGGCTACAGCAGTGTGGAGGCTATGCTAGCCTCAACAACATGTCCCAAAATAGTCGACGCCCAGTAGAAGTATCTCGCTTCGCACCAATTCTCGGATCCTGCATTATTGCGGGCAAGCGAACGCGGCAGTTTAAATCTTTTACCTGTAATGCTACGTGTCTTTAGAGTCCTGCAACTCAAGCAGCGCAGTCATAAACGTGACTAGAAGGCATGCAGAATGGCACAAGTTCAGTCTCTGTATAGAAAGGTGCACCCTGCAATGTTGCGGAAAAGTCCGGAAGTTACATGTCGGCCATGAGAGGGGCGACAGACTGACGGCCGAGCTCATTTCTCTGCCTCGTACCAATCCCGTGTTGCTAGCCTACACTAGTTAGAACAAGTGGCCGCTCGTTGTACGGCCCAGTGAAGGGCGGGACCAGCCGACAGTAGTGGATGCGCAAGGAGCGGCTCTGATGGACGGGAAAGAGGCCTCACTCCAGATGTGGTGCACCATGTACAGCTGCCCAATCTGGGAGAAGAAGCCAGCCACCGCATTGGCCCTGCGGAAGTTGATGCCTCTGGCCCTGAAAGAAATGCGCAAAAGTCAGGGTGGAGGTAGACGCTCTACCCTGTGCCTGCCCAGGTGTCGGGACAAAATGCCGATAGCAGTTTCGTTACCAACGCTCGGTCCAGTCTAAGAAATTTCCCGTAAAAAGGAGCATGCACCTGCCTCATTGATCTTTAAAATCCGAAGCTTACATTTCTTGCCACTTCACGGAGTTTGACCAGAACGTCTCATTATTTGAGATAGTGTGGGGAAAGCAAGGCCAAAAGTGTTAAGAGTGATTTGCAAGAAGTCCCAAAAGATGGTTGCCCACGAAACCAAACTCTTTATAGCTTGTCCTAACACTCGCTGCACAATAAGTTGCCTAATCCTCCCTGTTTTTTTTTCTGCGACTTATTGTGTACCTATTCATGTTTCTGCTCGTTGATTCAGTCCAGAGACAATGTACCTTGCTTGTTTATTTTGCTTTCCAGATAGCACAGTGTCAATGTCTGTCCAGTGACAAAATTTGCATTTGCTTCATTCATTTCTTTTTTTGCTCATATGTTTCCTGCAGCGACGGTGTCCACCTGTACATGCTTTTGCAACGTTTTGATCGTTAACTGCTTTTACTGTTCCGTTTATGCCTTTCCTGCTCCAACCATCCATTGGTCTGCTCTATACAATAAATAAACAAAAATAAAGAAATACTGTAATACCCAGAGAGATGCCTCACACCCGAAAAATAGCCAGCCCCCTATTTTTGGCATCATTTGCCATTTTTTCTAAAACGCCAAAAGATAGCCCACTTCTAGTAATCGCAGGGTACTGGCTAATGGTGACCTCGCCAAAAACGGTGTTACCTAAACACGAAGGGAGATGAGCAAACATTGCTGACTGGGAAGGACAGTCGTCTTTGGTTCACCGTCCCTTCCTGCGATCACAAGTTTTGAGGGTCACAACATAGAAAACTACTGTCGAGACCGGTTATAACAAAGTCAACGGGAATCGGAAATCGCTTTGCTATATCCGCTTCTTCGTTATATATAAACTCATACAAATAAGATGAAAAAAAAACAAAAAAACGTTCAGCCTTTCCACTCTCGTGAAGAAGGAAGACCAGCAGAGCTGTACTCGATACACTGTGTGCTTCATCTTCATCGTCGTCTGTTTTTCGCGCTGTTTCCTGCGATGAATTCCCACCGACGCGCCCAACTATCCATTCTTCTATTATAGCTGGAAAGGTTGGCGTCATCTACGAGCGACGGTGGAAGCCATACTGGTTGTGTGCTTGCCGCCGTCACTTATAGATGGCGGTAGCTGTCCAGGTAGGTTTGTGTCGACATACCGGACATGATCCTGGGGAACCTAGCCCTTAACAGCTCCGCTCTAAAAAAGAAAAGATAACACGGGTAGTCACGGGCACATGTTTACTGAGCCTGCAGAAAGCAGTCGAGGCTTCCCTTCACGTGTCCTCTGCTAGATCAGAGCGGCTTCTCGCCAACTGCGAGAAGCTCCAATCAAAAAAGATCCTGCTACGTATGAACCGTGTCAACAGCTGCGACGGCCCCACGAAGAACGCCGATGGTGGACGGCATTCTTTACGTTTATTCACACTTCATTCAGGATGGCATGCCACGACGGCCTCTCAGCGCGTGATGCGGTAAAGCCGCTTCCCAAATAAGGAGCGGGGAGCAGACACCATTGCAGAGACTGCCGCCAGCGGCTTTCCAGCATCTTCTGCAGCCTGTTTTGGGTAGCTTCTTGGCTTCGAGACCTACAGTAAACTTTCCGAATTTTATTCTTTTTTTAAATTATCACAAAATTTCTCCTCGCCATATCTGCAGGAGCCGCTCAATTTCTTTCGCTAAAAACAGACACAAATGCATTGAAAAAGTGCAAACGGGAATGGGAAATCATGATCACTTCGCTCTAGCCACTATTTCGTTATAAACGACTTCGTTATAACCGATCTCAACAAAGCAGTTTTTTTATTTTTTATATTGTACTGAAAGTTAGTTTACTTATTATTTTTATCCAATTTGCTGTCGATTTTAGGTGGGTTATCTCTTGGGATATAATGGTAAGTTCCTGCCAATGAGAATTTAAATGCAACCCTATGCGAGCCGAAAGGTAGGAGTGGCAGTCTTACCAGTTGTTGCCCCACTCAATCATTGTTCCGGGCTGAAAGAGAAAGAACCCTGGTTAGGCCACCCCCCGGAGTGAAAAAAATGGAGCATGAAGACCTCCATGTAGAAACCTGCCAATGTCAGTAAGAGAACTCGAAAGATCTCTTTTATCGCAGATTAACTGGTGCGGCGTAGCCAACCCCGCCTAGAAAATAAGTCTTGAGCATGGCATCGTCATATGTACCTATCCAACTGGCAAACATACTCAAGCTCAACGAGATTCCCCGGCAAAGTGGCAGACGTCTGTGTCTTGGCGTCACTTCCTGCTCACGGCGATGCAGGTGCGAGATAGACCGCTAACAAAGGTGTAAGGCCAGATGTGGGCCTTGCCCTCTGTTGTCATATAGGACACAGTCATTGACGTTAACTGTGCCGTTACTCACCGTCCCCTTGTCGGTAAGCACAAGCTTCCCTCAATAAAAATTGTTTTCTCGGTGCTTTGATGCCTCGTCATTCGTGCCACCATTGTGACGCAACTCGAAGCGAATATCGAAGAGCTTGTTATTTGGAACCACAATTCGAGAATTAAATATCTTCACAACACCACAAGTGAGGGGTTACTGGCAGATCTATTGATACACCAAAAAGTTGTGTTTAGGACTTTTGACCCCACTAGTGAATGAAGGCAATCAATGGAGTAATATGCTGGGTGCTTCACAGAATGCCAGTTAAACTGTTCCTGCGGAAACTGTCCATTCCAGAGAAAAATATGACTGGTGCCATATTTTGACCAAGTAAGGTCCGAAGTAATTTTGAATAAATACATTTTCTAAAAACAAAATCAACAAATGGTTCCAATCAGAAATTTTATAACCATTGCCGAAAATCACTAAATAAAGTAATTTTTACAAAGACTTGGAATATCTGGGATGCATGGTAGTGCAAAAAATTTAGTGCTTGCGCTACAAGTGCGAGGCTGGCGGAGCAAACAACAAGAAAAATAAAGAAAACCATGCGGTTTTGTCAAAGTTGAATTTAATTTAGGTACTCCAAAGAATAAAGTATGTGCTCCAAATATTTCAAACCTTTACCAATTAATTAGACCGATCTTACCAAGCGTTCGGCAAATCTGTGATGCCACCATAACTTTAACTCGCAAAAAGCAGGCGGCAGTGCACGAGACGGCAATGAGTCTTGGGCTCTACATGCGCAGAGCTCCAGCAAGGTTCTCGCTCGTGCAAAAAGACTGAAGCTTCCTCGATGTATTGTGGCAGCAGCGACTTAGCCAAACTGGTTGGCGAGATCGGTCCATTGTTTTCAACACTGCCCATTGAGTTTCCAATACAAATTGCTTATTTTCACTAGTTAGAAGGTTAATCATGCTAATCTAATCAAAAACTAAATTTACTAAATGCCACATACCTCAATACCAAACCAATACGACACCCGTAATAATTACGCGCGACGTATGGTTTTTACACAAACATTCTGGCCGGCGTTCGGTGAAAAACCCACACAGTATATGCAAGAATATATGTTTCTCGAGTCCCTGACGAGATGAGAATGACAGAGAGATCCTTCGATCCATGACACTTCAGCTTCTTGTGAATGCCACATGAATGTTTGGACATTCACACATGTGAATGTCCAAACGGGACATTTCAAATGGCACATGCCGGTTTACAACTGTCCTCGATGGAGGACTGGAGCTAGCTCATTACGCAGGTCCTGACAGCTACTCACGCGCCGTTGGCTATCAGTCGAGGCCTTCGCTGCTGTTCAACTTTGAGCCTCCCGAAACGGCAAAGGGAAGGGTAAGACGGCAAGAAGGTCAAGCCTCTTTGTGCGAGCCAAACCCAAATGGCTGCACCTCTTCGGACTTTGTCCTGCTGCACCGCCGGCCGTGGCGGAACCGGTGGGGTGCACTTCATTGGCAGGTCGTGTGCGACGTAACGGAAAAGGTGAGGAGGAAAGCCGTGCTGTTTGCACGGTTGATGTCCAAACTAAAAATAAACAGCCAAACAGTAACTTTCTTTCGTATGGTAGCGAGATGTCGCTTTACGCCGTTTGAAGTGTCACGTTTGAAAAGGTGTCGAGCGTGTGCTGGAGCCCGGGCATTCGAGAGATTTGCCCATCCATGTCAGTGACTACAGCACGCCGCTTTGCTGGAACTCCCAGGCTGCGCGAGCGAGCACAGAGGCGGGGCCCACCTTGAGCACGTAGGAGCGTATCTCGTACATGCCCCCGTGGTGCTTGGGCTTGGGGTTGCCCCAGAAGCTGAAGGGGAGCATGTACTGATTCTGGCGTGCCCGCAGGTGCTTGGCCTCGTCCGCATGCAGCTTCACCAGGTCCGCGTCCGTGTTGCACACGTTGATGGACCCGTGCGCGGAGCGCCAGCCCTGCTTGAAGCGCCAGATGTGCACTGGGCGGAAGAAGGGGGGCACAGTACTAATTCAGGATGGGTTTAAGGGGCGCAAGAACTTCGGAAAATGTGTTTCCGCAGGTGTGCTCACGTTAAAATTTCCTAGTGTTGCTTCCAGAAAGAAAGGTGAGAACCAAATTATTTTCAGACACAATTAATTTATATTGTGGATTTTGTGCTGGAATCACTGAACCTTCATACATTAGTACTATACCTCATTAAAGTGGGCATGGAGCATAAAATTGCCAAACCAATACAGATACGGCATAGGTCTTAGACATACTTACTACTTGGCACCTGTCAGTTTAATCCCGCTGAAGTTTGTGTTGTGATGCAAGACAACCATTTGCTCAAAAACTTTTACAAAAAAAATAAATGAGAAGCTTTTAATGACGATTCCAACGAATGGAATCCCTCAAAAAAATTAAATATTTGCTTCTGTAGGCAATGTATCGAGGAGACTTTCGCCCTGCAGGGATTACATTTTCTTGTATTAAGAAAGCTCGAGCCCCAAGAGAGCAGTACGGCACTACCTGCAGTTTGTACGTACAGTCAAACCCACTTATAAAAAACCCGAGAATAGTGAAATATCAAACATAACAAACCAGTATTTGTTCTGTGCCTTTGAGTGGCAAGACATTGCTCCAAGTTCTTTTGTTGTCTTTGTTTTCTCCCATGCGCTCCCAGGAGCACTCATTCTTTCATCACTTTCATTTTTCTTGTAGTTCATTTGCTTTGGTTGGCTGTTATTAGATATAAAGGCAGACCTACAGAATCGTCTCCTGCCGGAAAAAAAAAGTACCATTTCCTTTTTTAATTCCCTTTTGCACTCTTCTCTCCCCCTCTCCCCACAAGAGCAGGCCTCCAAAATACTCCCCACAAAAAGGAGAAATGGAAGGAGTTTGCTTCTTTCTGGCTCCTCGTCGGCCTTCAACATCGGCTTTGATTGCTGGTGTGCGGATGCTCGATTCTGGTGCATCAGAGCACGAGCGGCATACAGAAGATGAGAAGCAAGAACAGATAGGGGCACCAAGCTGCCCCAACCTAGCTGAGACCACTGAGAGAGTTGAATCGCTGCTACAACTTCTGTCCTCATCAATGACACACCACCAAAACATCTTGACCACGTTGGATCAGTCGTATAAAGCGGCTCAAGCAAGAACAAAAACAAAGAGAAACTAATGGCTTTCCGTCAGTTTTTCTGGAGTCGGTGCAATTTCTGTGCTGATAGTACCGCTGCCACACAGCACGCAGTCAAAATTTTGGCACCTGCAACAAAAGAGTAGCCTAGAATCTCATCAATCCATTTTTCGGGAGATCGCAAAACATGGAGCATAACTCGAGGAAACAAAACAACTGGTCACATTCTCGGCGGGCCAATAGATGCGACGGAAAGGGAACGCTTTTGTAGTTCATTAAGTGTGTAAGTCGTTGGTCTTGGAGCACCCATATTTGGGCAGAATTAAGTTTCTCATGAGACAAGTTCTTTCGCGGGCAGCCACAACCCTTTCTCGCCGCCTGGGCAGCCGTTCGACGAGCACGCCGGCCCTCGCGCGGATCCAGCAAGGTTCTTTTAGAGTCTTGGTCAGATTGAGCCCAAAGTCCTCGACTATGTTTGCCCACTTCCCTCCGGGTCTAGATTTACAATCTGCAGTGTGACAAGTCTAGTGTTTTTCTTGACTGAAATTCAACTTCCCTTTTTACAATGCTAAAATTTAGACGAGACCAATGAAACAGCACTGGAACAGCCTCTATGTCGTGCAGGCGCACCTATGCGACAAATCGCATTAAATTTCGTGCGATAAATTTTTTTTATTTGCGCATAACAAAAAATTGATTTGTACACTAAAAGCCTTCGTCAATCCCACGGAGTTTGTTGCAAAGGTGTCTATCAGCACTACGAATGGTTACCTAGAAAATGTTCGCTTACAGTTCTGTTCAACGTGAGAACCGTACATGAACGTATTTCTTATATAATAAGGTTATGAATGGTGCCATTGATTTTGCTCTGCTTCTTACCAAAGCTAACCTTTATGTTCCTTTGCACTCCTTCACACATTCCATTTGCTTCAATATTTGTTCAATCAGAAGCAATTATAATTCATCACTTTCCTGGAGTCACACGTCAACACAGCTACACCCGACAGTGGTATCTGTGCAATAGTTTCTGTATACTGCAGTTAAACTGCTACCTTTTATACCATATATCAGTGACAATAATTTGCAGTGAAGAAAAAAATTAAACTTTTTGCCGATGACGCAACAATCACTCCAGAAGTATTGAAAACTAATGGCCAGAGAGATCAAACCAAATACCTAGAGACTGACAAGCTGAAGAGACGGCAGGAAAATTAAAAATAACAAGGGCAAAATCGTACACATGAATGCAGCATGCAAAAAAAGAACCAAAAGTTCACACACAATGTTGGTGGATGCCCCTAAAGGCGATGGGTAATCCTATGAATCATCATGATGCAGAGTCGAGACACCGAGGGAACTAGCCAGAAGGATGGATGTACAATGACATGTCCATCCCTCTAGTTAGTTCCCTCATTCTAGGGCAACAATTCCAAACACATACCAGCTTGCCTGCCTTATTACTTTCCAAATCAGAGATGGCGCTCTACACCAACCTGAAGCACAAATACAAATTCGAGACCCCGCATTTCTTGGCTAGTTTTTCCGGGTCAGCCGAGCCTCTGGGCAAGTTGACCAGGCACTCGAGACAAAAGGACAAAAACTTTTTAGGACTTAAGCTTGAGATCTGTGGACACGAGGCAAAAGCCATGTCGGCCCCAATGTTTCTGGGATAGCCAACTGCCTCAGACCAAGGACGAGCGACCAAATCTGTTAGGGAGGGAGGGCTCCACTTACGGTACTGGTCCTGGTCCCCGATGACCACCTGCCAGCTGCCGATGAGCTCGCAGTCTGGCGCCTTGCTTTGTAGTAGCTGGCAGTAGGATTCACTTTGCGGGAGAGGAAGGGGAAGGTATAGGTGGCGCCCCCCGTACTCCGTTTACCCCTAAGCAAACAGGGCAGTGGAAGCCAAGCCCTCAAAGGACCCAAATACTTCGATAGAAAAAATATACATTTCACTCCGCTCATCTGCATTAGACAGCACGCCTAGAACGCAAAATCCTCCCCTAGCGGTGTGGACAGTTTCTGTCCGAGAGAATGCATGCGCGTCGTGCTGTCCATGCACACTGTCACGCAGCAGCGAGGGAGAGTGCTGCTGCCTGCACACCGAGATAACGGATTCGCCGAGACAGCAGAGATGACTGTCCCAACAGGCGCTCGAGATACACAACAAAAGATGGTGGCAGCCACCTCTCCCAACTCCAAGGGGGAAACCCCAAGGCTATAATGCATGCAGCCATTCCAACTATGCAAAACCTGTTTGTGTCAATGCCATTTCTGCGGTTCATCACGATGGACTGCGCTGGACGCTACAAGCCATCGGCGCGAATCCAATGCTGTGCGAGTCTCAAGTGACCTGTGGGACGAAGGCAGTGACGGGCGGGGCAAATTAACTCATGCGCACAATGCTTAATTGGCTGGGATGTGGCTCACGACGTCGGCTAGAGTCCAATGTAAAGTGAAACAAAGTAAGTTTTCGCCAGACCGATCAGCCACCTTCCTTCAATCACCTGACCCCACTTTCTGCGCGCGGGTATGGGTGGCAGCGTGATCATGCGGCAAAAGATAGACTGGAGCGTGGAGCTTCAATTGCCCTGTCGGCTCTGGGGTGTACGGAGTATGGGACGCTCGGGCTATACTCACTATCCCCGCAGGTAGGGCTGGACGGCGTCAGGCTTCACGTCGTGAACTGCAAAGAGGCAAGGGTCAGCGCTGCAGCCTCGGCGGCCGTCCGTCGGTGGGGCGCTCACTCTGCAGCTCGTACACGATCTCGGTGTCGGACAGCAGCCGGGAGTGCGAGTCCTTGCCGGGCTCGATCTTGCGCACGTGCAGTAGCTTGCTCAGCCAGCCCTCGGACGAGTTGAGCTGCCTGCACGGGGTCGTGCTCAAGGCCCTGCGGCCGGGGGAGAGGAGCCGCGTGTCAGAACCATTCACGCGCGTGTCCCTTCACGGCGCAGCCGAGCCCCACTCGACGGGCGATTCTTGGGCCCCGAACGTTATGGTTTGTTCACATTTAAGCTACAACAGCCAAACATACAAGCTAGCCCGCGCGCACCCCTTCGAGATGTGCCTTTCTAGCGCGAGCGCTCGTTCCGCGGAAAGACGTTTCAAAGCCGAGGTAACTGTGGCCGAGGTCTCGTGCTCTCGCGCTTGTACCTTGGGCTGCAGTCTCAACATAAGGGTGAATGGAGTAGAGCAGAGGACAGTGGTGTTACCCTCCATGTCCTAGGAGGAAGCTGCGTGCTCCTGACCAGATTGTCGCCGAGTGCACAAACGTCGTCGGTGCCGTCAAACTGACGCTGCTACGGGGCGGTGGCTATTTCTCGCTCCTTCCTTGAGAATGGGCCAGGAGCTGGTAATGCAGCCTCGCGGCACCGTGAGTGGGCCCGGTTAAAGCCCCGTTATGGGTGACCTCTGGCCGTTCGGAGGCACACAGCTGAGGCGGTGGCGGCACGCGAGCGTCGCTCCAGCGCGGCGGAGCGGCTTGCGAGCAGCCCGCGTCCGAGGGAGCGGTGCGTCCAAGAAAAGCCAGGGCCTACCTCTTGATTTGGGGACCCAGGGACGCCGAACAAGGCGCCAGGAAAGACTTGATCTTCCACACGCACGCCATCGTTTTCGGTTCCCCCGGCCTGTGCCCCCGGCCTCTCGTCAAATCTCGCGAGCGATGGAGCGATGACGCGGGATGACGACGCTTTGGCGGCGGTCGCCTAGCGACCGCGTCGTCCGAGCTCCGGAATCGAAACGTCCCGTGGGTGGATCAAAGGTTCCTCAAACTTTGAACGCCCAGCGACGAACTTTGGACTGTACTTGGACGAACACGGCCCACACGGCTTCGCGTCAAAATAGTAACCGCTGTAGTAATTTACAAGAGGCGCGAAGGCGCTTTTATGAGCGACGCTAAAGTTGTTCCCTGGGTCCCGAGAAATTAGAGGAACAGATTTTACAAGGACGGGCACGTTTTCTCGAAGCTCGGTTTAGAGAAATCTGAGTCTCAGTTTAGAGAAACGCCGGTTATCGAAAAAAAAAGAAAAAAAAAGAAAAAAAAAAGACTCCTTTACTTTTTGCGTGTATCCCTGGAGCGCGTGTTCGCCCCACCTCCCCGGTTCACGTCACTTCGCGGCGAATCTGCGGCAGCTCATTACAAAAAAATGTTAAACCACCTGGCCCACCGTGCACGCCGCTTCGCAGCGACCGAATTCGCTAAAAGGAGGCTCATCACCATTTTCTCTAAAGCAGGTTTCGCTATAAAGAGATTCTATAAACTGGGGTCTCTAAACCGGCGTTCGCCAAAATTGATTTCCTCTTGCTCAGCCCAACTTTAGAATCAGACGGGTGACAATCCAGCATGCCTGCTGTGCAAACGAGACGTCCATGGGTCTTTATGAAACATAAATGAACTCCACAATGAAGGACGTTCACTGTAGCTGGAGTTAACCTGGACAAGAGTGAAAATTGCATGCTGTTCATGACTTAAACCTTTAGCAGCCTCTACCCTTGGGCCAATTCAGAGTAGACTTTTTTCAAAAGTTCATCAAGCAACACTGGCGGTCGTGATTTCTTGGGCACAAAGCATGCGATTGGATCCAAGTCCTCGACAAACGCTGATGCAGTTTGTCGAGGACTTGCGATACAAATTACAAGCCAAACGCTCACTTAACCCTCAGGTCCAACACATCTGCTCAGAGTATATGTGCCCTAACAATGGCAGATTCTGATAATTGGTGAAGCAATTACTGGACGGCACACACTTTTGAACAGGGTCTGCGTGGCCCAATGTGAAAAAACAATGCCAAAAGCCTCGAGATCTCTTTTGGGTGCAGTCTGCACTTGATTTCCAAACTGCAAAGTGGAGAGAACAGTGCAAGGCAGATGGCAGATGGCGGTCTTACAAAAAAACCCCAAGCCGAGAACTTGTGACGTTTGCTTGCAAGAATTGTAAACACCCCATGACGGGCGAGACATCACGACAGCCCCACATAGGCGCGCAACACACATTAGGCAACTCGGTTTCCACAAGTTATACTGCAGGAAGTAGCCTTTTATGTCAATTCAAAACCGAGCTGCATAGTATTCGTGTTCGTTACGATTGATGTCCTTGCATCCGGGACACTGGTCGGGCACTGCTGCACCTCGAGCGCGGACTCGACAGGAAGCACCCCGGGGACAGCTGCGGCCCGCTTGAGTCATGGGCAGCAAGTACGATGGCTCTGGTTTCTTTTGATGCTGTTTCGTAACACTGAGCTACGCAGAGTAAACCATGAGCTACCAATTAGAATCGAGGAAAACGCAGCTGCCCACTGCTTGCGTGCATGTCAAATTTGCGCTTCGAAGGTAGTGCTTGCTTTGAAAGGGAAAGATATTCATCTCTAAACGAAACCATGAAAATGCAGCAATTTTTTGCCCGACAATAGTGTCGGCACAGGCTGCAAATGCTTCTCCGGGGCACTGCACCTTCTGCTTTTGGTGCCATGCCGACACCCTCGAAGGGTTCACCACCAGGCTGCGACATCCTCGTGCTGCAGTACTGGTGGGCATTTGTGAAGCAACTGCTGCAAGATGCCCATTAAGCAAGATGCCCATTATCAGGGTGTGAAGTTACACCCTGATAACAAGACTGCTCCTCCACAGTGAAGACACCAGCAACCATATCATGGGGCAGATTTGTTCAGAGTAAAGTCCTTTCCAATTTTTTAACAATCGCCAGTTTCTGACAGAGTGCCACGGAACTTCAAGGGAATACAAAAGGTGTGCAAACATACTAAACTTCAAGTAATTTGCTAAAAGTGTTTGCTATATTAGATTCACATCATACTTTTGCTATTCTAAGTATTCAAATGTTATTAATATTCGAAAGCTGCAAATAATGACTTTGGAATCCTTCGATTTCTCGCATCAAGCTCAACTCCAGAGTGCAGGTGAGAAGCAGTGAAGCTTCATGCGAGAACTTCAAGAATTCTGAAGGCACTCTTCGCAGTTATTGAATATTAAAAAAGCCCTAATCTTTGCTGCGACACCAGCACTCTGGAGTTAGGCTTCACCGTTTCGCACCCGCACGTAGGTCAAGCTTCACTGCTCCGCACCGGTGTACTACGAGAAACGGCTCAAGTGTCCAAGCAGCTGGGTAGGCTCTATGACATCCGAAAGTTTGCTCTTTACTGCAAGCAAGACACCTCATTTTAAAAGACAGTGCCAGTAAAGGAAACCTTCAAACTACATTCACATAAATAAGATAGCTATTCCTTTGCTTGCTACGTTGCATTTTTTTGTCCAACTAATCTTATCAGGGCCCTTTTGTTTTGTCTCGATAAAATTATCTGGAAGGTTTCTCATGTAATATCCTTAAACTATGCCTTTTCATGTTTCCTTTCTACAAAAAATCTACAGCCATGATTACCTTACATAAGTATTTTACATCAAATGTAGATACATTAAATGCAAAATATTCATATTAGCAAATATTTGAACTCAATTCACAGTAAAATATTAATGTTGATATTCGATTCACAATCACAACCTTCTTTTCGTCACAACTAGTTAAGAAATGCTTTGAAACAAACCACAGAAAGTGGACAGAGCACACCATGCCTAAAAAACAACTAACCAATGAGGAGAAAAATAAATAGAGGTCCACACCCACAAAGTACAGAAAGTATTTGTTTATTAGGACAATCTTAAAAGGAGCCAAAAGCTTGTCCCTACACGGTACAACACTTTCCCTAGTTCCCCGCCCTCCTGAGGAATTGCCGCAGGTGTGCCGAGGCATTCACCCGGGAAAGATGCCTTGCCGGCACAGCCGGTCAGCACCCCCCCCGGCATGCATCGGTGAACAGGCACTTTACAGCTGCAGGTGTTTGGCCATCCGTGGAAAGCCTTCGACCATAGCAAGATGATCTGTCGACAAATATCCTGCCGCGAAGACTGTTCTCAACCCGAGGTCCGCCGCGGCGTCGGCAAACGAAGCAAAGACAACCTTTCACCAGGCTCTCGTTGACTTTTCCTAGATTAAAAATGCGAGCAAACGCAAAAAAGTGTTCTCTAAAACAGCAGGAACATCACAATTCCCCGATTCATAACTTTTGAAACATATGCGCAAAAAATACCCTGCACGATTGTCACTCATTAAAGATTCGCTGACTCGAGCCAGCTAGCACATGGCAATGGGAACATCAAATGATATATTTAAAGGAAGCAAAAATGAATAGGACCTCGGATTTTTGAAAGGATCGATAACTCCAGTCCTCGCCACAAAAAGAATGTGCCACTTTGTTCCCGTCCCCAGCTCGAGAGCAAGATGAACTGCTGCCTCGTGGCGACAGAGCAGGACTAAGCCTTGCGGTTTGAACTCGCCAATTTATCTCGCTCAATGTTCAACTTCTCTCAAATGGATTAAACGCACATCCCCCGGAGTTCCAACCGATCCCGACAACGCCACCGCGACACAGCCCGTCGCACATTTGGAGAGCCGAACGAGACGAGTACATAAATAACGAACAACACGGTACAACCAGGTACGACGTGAAGAGAAAGAGAGTCGTTCCCTCAAGCGGGAGAGCGACGGCAGCACCTCATAACCGGGAAGCCAACTAGCGACACGGCAAAACAAAACCTCCAATAACGGAAAGGGACGACAAAAAAATGCCTCGGCATATCACAGACCCCCGGAGAGAAAGAGTGGGTGTCTCCCCTCCTTACTCAACCCCAACTTCTACAGCCCTGGTGCAAAAGCCAACAACCCCACGTGCTGAAAACCAGGAAAATTAATCTTTGCTCCCCTCTTGAGCAAGAAGCAAGATATCGGGCCTCGTTCCGCTGTATAAAAATGTCCCAGCTACCGGATGAAAAGACGGAGCGCGACTGCCTCCCTCCAAAGACTGGGGGGAGGCAAAGACCAGATTTCGGTGGAAGCCGACGATGCCGTAAAACCTATCTGGATAATGAGTGTCGTGCGGCGAGTTGTCCCCGTCATTGCAGCGAACACTTGTACTGATGCCTCACGAGCCAGCATACGACGTGCGCATTGCTTTACGGCACAGAGGCAATTCTGGCTTCTTGGAAGAGCGGCCCTTGAGAGGATGACACGCAGCTGGTCCGACTGTGGCAGTGCGATGCAACCCCTACCCCCACTCGAAGCTAGACGGCACCAACCGAGGGGTCACCGGCCTTCCAGATAGCCTCAGCGATTGAGTCGACGCGTAGCTTTTCTGGCTCGAAAGATATGAGAAAAGAGTTTCATGCTCGCCTTGGTTTCTGCCAACCACCTCTTTTCGGCTGGAACAACCTAATGATGCAGACGTCTAAAGCGCACGACTGACAATTCCTTTGGTCTCCGGAGCATGGCACCTCTCACCGCTTCCATATAAAAGATAAGAGAAAAAAATATGAACAAGAGCTACGAACGCCTCTCCGTACTCGCCCGTTTCTGCCGACCATCTCTTGTCCGCAGTTAGAAAGGAGCCGGGAACTTGTCCCCTTCGCAACGCAATAGTGAAACGAATGACTAAAGAGCGCGTCTGACAATGTCTCTACCTTTAGCCTTCGATGGACGGTGTCTCTTGCCACCTTGGTATCAAAAACACGAAGGAAACGAGAGCTACACCTTCATGTTCGCCTCGGTTTCCGGCAGCCACTTCACTTTGGCAGGGACAACGAGACGATGTCCGACAATGTCTCCTCCTCTAGACTACACTGCATGGCGCTTCTCACCACATCGGTGTCAAAAACACGAGGGAAACGAGAGCAGAACCCTGGTCACCGGTCAACCACGACCTCCGGGGACGACAGTGCGTTGTCCTTTGGGGGACTAGCTTTGTGGATGCGTCAGTGGGCACCCTTCGGCCTCCCCACCAGCTGCCCGTAGCGGATGTGCTGCCCTTCTTCCAGCTCCAGGGCAAAGTCCTTAGGTGCCTCGAAGATGAGCACCACCGTGGAGCCCAGGTTGAACTCCCCAAAGGGGTCCCCCTTGTCCAGCCGCACTCCCGCCTCGTTGTGGTTCGACTGGAAGCACTGGTCGTCGAAGTCGTGCCGCCGGTACCGACGCCGGTTGGTCACGAGGTTCTGGAACGGGACGACGCGAGATTACCCTCCTGGACCGCCCGCCGAGCTGCCTAGCGGTTCTCGCTCGAGTTTGGATGCACCCAAACACAAAGCTATGAGAAATCTCCGCGCTTGTTTGGATCCGACAGTGTTGCGGGACAGGAATTTTACTTCCGAATTTCGCTTTCGTCAATTGTCTAACGCTTGTTGAAACTTGTTAACGTACCACATATTCTGCCTCGGAAGCCAATCTTGAAGAGGTGTAATGCCGTAGACAAGATGTAGGGTTGTGCGAATATTCAAAATTTCAAATGGTAGTTGCGAATAATAGACTATTCGATATTCGCTTCGCGAAGAACTGCACTATTCGCGTTTTTTGAAGTGTTGATTGTGGTGGGTTAGCTCCCATTGAGTGCGCTTCTTTCCGAGCACCGGTGCACAGTGGAGAAGCAATACTTGAGGAAGCAAGCTCCACGGGTGTTGCTTCTCTGCATTCCATCGGTGCTCGGTAAGAAGCGCACTCAACGGGGTAACCAAACCGCGATAAACAGATAGAAAAGTATGAATACTGCAATTGCGTGCTTGGAAGAAAAGCATACATTCAAAGCGGGGTAGTGCACGTGTGCGGACTGTATTTGAAAATAAATGGAAACTTTGTGAATCTGTATATCTACATTGTAGTAAAAGTTCCAAAATTAAACTGACTGTTATGGAAGAGTAAACTATGTTAGGTAGAGATGCCCTTACAACCTGCGTTCATCATGGGCGATTCTTTCTTTTTTAACTTGAGGTTAAAGAAAGCATATTTTATATAGCAAGATTTTGCAAATAAACTCAATTGGGTATAGCTGGCCATCTCTATAGGATTCATTATATACTGAATACATTGTTTATTTGTCCTCCCAAGACATTGGACCTTATGAGGTCACAGTTAAAAAATATAGATGTATTAAACTTAGCTTATAAATGAGCAAGTGGAACAACCTTTCATAAGTTTAGCTGGGTTTTCGTCTAAGCATTATGCAATGGTAGTGAAAGGCGTGGAAAAAGCTATTCGATATTCGAACTGAAAATATTCGGCGAAAACAACTATTCGCTTCGAATTCAAAATCTACTATTGGAACAAGACTAACAAGATGTAATCTCGTAGACGAGATCTAATGCCGCAGACAAGATGCAACATCAAGGACAGATGTAATGCCACGGAAAGAGCGTACAGTCGAACCCGGATCTATCGAATTTAAAGTGGATTGTAAAATAGTTTGATATATCGATAATTTTGTATACGCGCATCTGTGCTAATACCGAAGGCTGCGACAAACAGGATTTTACCAAATCAAGCCTCTAAGAGCTGCTAAATACTGTGAGCAAGCCCATGTGGTATAAAGTCACAGTCGACCATGAGCCCCCCTCGATGGGGCCCCACGGTCTCCCCACCGCAAGACCGCAACGCCAACCCCATAAAACACCAGCTCACCGCGCTCACTATGCTTCCCAAGCCTTTCCCTTTCGCCCGTATGCTCTCGCTACCACCATCTCAAGTGTCTCCCCTCCGCATTCCCAGACACCTCTCCCCCGTGTTTCTCGCTGTGTTCTCGGGCCTTGGTCTTCGCTTACTTCGCTTTGTGTAACAGACCGCCTTGGCCTCTAGCCCTCTTAACATGTAATCCCTCTAAGCTCTTCAATAAAGTCCCTAATTACTATCTCTATGCCCAGCCTCAGCCCTGCCATGCCTCACAATACAGTAGTGCTTAGTTGGTGAAGATCACAAACACCTTAGTGTTTGGCGATTACTTGGCCTGGCATTTACGTTTAAGCTGCCACCGTGTTTGCCATCGTTTATGCATAGACACGACCTCCGACCTTGACACAGTGCCGACAGCAAAACAAAAATAATAAAAAAAAAAACGGAAAAAGTGAGCTGCATAAAAAAACAAAAACACTCTCGATCCATAGAATAAAGTTAAGTAAGCAACAAAAAAGAAACCTCACTAAATTTAGGCAGCAAAAAAAAAAAAAAAGGTAAAAAAAAGAAAAACTGGGCATAGCAAAACCCCGAAAGAAAGAGGTAAATAAAGATAAGGGGTTCAAAGTGTGATTGCTAAACCGTTGTTGCCCACACACTCCACTTGAGGAACTTTTTTCTCTTTTTGCTTATTTTATTTTGGGGCTAAGGAGTCGCGCAGGTGCTCCGGAAAAAGAGCGAAAAGAGCGCAGGCTACCGTTCCAGCGGGCACTCCCTGCCCTTCCCCCTTGCTTTTGCCATCCTCCTCCTTTTTTTTTTTTTTTTTGCAATTGGTTTTTTGTTGCATATTCCAGCGCTCCTATGACTTGGCAGTTTGCCAGCACCCCAACGTGAGCTATGTACTTGCCACCAGTGCAATCTGATCGCGGGAGAAGCAGCCGGAGGAGCAACAGGTGCCCTAGCAGGGGCCACCCTGCTTCCTTCCCTGGTTCGCTATATTAAGTGTCCCCGCCATGGGAGTTCGATACAGAAAAACAATGCTCCTATACTATTACATGTGATTTTCATGGGGATGTTCAGACTGTTTCATATAAACTTAAATTCGAAGCACTCCAGTGTGACATAACCAGGGCTTGACTGTACATTCTATTCCCACTAAATTCGGTGGGGAAGCTGACCGTGACACCTGTGAATGTATTTTATATTCGTGGGAGTTTAGATTTTCAACCGCGATTAGAGTTTCTTTCTATTTGAAGAAAACTGGGGCCCAGAATTGCAGCTGCCCCCGGTCCGAGGAACGGTGGGACGTACGCTGTCAAAGTAGACCTTGATGGAGCCGACGTTGGTGGCCCCGACAGCGGTCATGCTGAAGAAGCCGTGCTGCCAGTGGCCCATGTACACTACCCGCTCGTTCATGTTGAACAGGCCCGCTATCCAGTTCACCACGCCGGGGCGCACGCTCAGCAGGGTGCCTGCCCAAGGAACAAAAAGACGCACCGGCTCACGACACTCCACAACACGGCTTTATACCGACAATACAAACTGCAACTCGCAACCACCCGAAACAAAAAAAATCGAGAGGTCCTGCGTTAATTCAGAGTACAGTCACAGCGATAGCTGCAACACGTCACTGCAATGTCAATGGGCATGGGAGTCGCGTTCACGCATTGTGGCGTGCGTGAAGAAAAGCATTTAGAACAAAAAGAGCACCTGACCACTTTGTTCAGAATGCTTTAGTTTCAGTTCCTGTAGCGCCTACTACAAATTTTTTTAATAAAAATTTAATGTAATGGTTTTGCTATAATGAGGGCGAGAGTCCATTCGCCAACTGCATTAAACCCCAAAAACTTGTACTTTAAAATGTCAGTCAAAACGTTTTAGTTACAATGAAATCTAGTTGATACGATTTTCACGGGAACCGAAAAATAAAACATTAACCGAAAATCCTATTGTCCAAAATGAGCTAAATAATTTAATAAAATAAGCGTACCGGTGAGAAACTTGCTTTTATTCCGCAGCCTTAAAATGGTCGGTCATTTTGGTTTGCGTTTTCTTCTTTTCAATATCGATAAACAAGTTCTTTTGAAAGTTAAAAAAAAAAAAGATACGCAGTTTGGTCAGCCAGCTTGGCCAGCTTGCGCTCTCATCGGCCTTCTCGCGAAGTTTACCGTCGATGTTCACACCTGCTGTTCGTACTTCTTTAAACCAAACCAGGAGGATTTCTTCCATCTGTGCATGCTGCACACCTCTCGTTTCCTTGACGCTCGCGCCGAAGACTTGCACCTTATTGCAGATTTCTTCCCGTTTGCCGACAAGTGTTAAGAGTAGAAACCGGCAAGCCTAGTTGGCATGCCAGGTCTACGTGCTTCTTCGGGTCTTCTTCGACCTTGTAGATAACGTCCATTTTTTTCTTTTAGAGACAGTGGCTTGCGTTTCCTTGGCATTGTCACGGTGGTTAACGATACCACAAAAGCCATGAATAGGGAGCATTAGAGAGTGAACAGACAAAGCGAGACAGCGCACTTGGAAAGCGAAAGAAAACGTGCAGAGACGCAAATATTGTGCAAGAGGTGGCTATCACCGCCAACGCCACCTACTGGGTGCAACGCACACCTAGCCACGTGATACCAGAGTGCGCTACTTTCCGCTTGATGGCAAACAGCAACGCCCGACTGGGCGGTTATGTTGGAACACTCCAGCGTTAACAATGGCTCTCGTGCTGTGGCCACGCAACGGGCCGCTCGTGGCTCGTTAGAATGGGATTTGAGCTTTTGATTCCAGTATGTACAGGGTGTCCCAAAAGAAAATTTACACGGTCTTCTTTACCGCAAAATTAAACTAGGCATCGCCAAACGCTCATTCTCCGCCCAAAGGTAGCACTAGAGGTCACAACCAGGTGCCAAAGTGTCAGCCCGATCCGATAACTTAATCACAAGTTGTAAGTGATTTTCTGAAAATTTCAATGGGAAAATGGCGGCCGACGGAGTTTTTGAACACATGGGGCTCTGTGGCACCAGAAACCAAAAACGGGCAAAATTGGGCTCCATTTTCCCATTGAAATTTTCAGAAAATCACTTATAACTTTTGATTAAGTTATCGAATCGGGCTGAAACTTTGGCATCTGGTTGTGACCTCTAGTGCTACCTTTGGGCGAAAAATGAGCGTTTGGCAATGCCTAGTTTATTTTTGCGGTAAAAAAGACCGTGTAACTTTTCTTTTGTGACGCCCTGTATACTGGAATGTAAAGGAATAATTTTTTTAAATGCCCGTAAGAACCCACTTTCGGAGTCGTATTATCTGATTTCGAGCAAAAATGTGATTGTATCGTCCGTATCAAAATACATTGCTCCTATGGGATGTTGGCCGGGAATGAAAAACAATGTATTATACCAAAAAACGTATTATGTCCAATGGTAACAACAAGATTCCACTGTAGTTAGCTAAATAACAAATTTCGCCCCTTTTCTCATGGCCCCTATGGCCCTCACCTCAGCCCCAAGAATAAAAAAAAAAAAAATCCTAATATATAAATAATTTTTTTTTTTTTTTTAAGTTTTAAATTTTTTTAAATAATCTGTATACGGTGCATTGGATTTCCGTACCTTGCACATGAGAAATTATTCCTCGTCGTGTAGCCTGTCCCAGAAAGTAGCACTGTCCAAGCTGTGTGTGTTGTGTTGGGGGTGCTGATGCTCCCCCCTCTCTCCATATTCCCCCTTGGGAAGGGGACTCCCTCCTTACCTGGGAAGTGCCTCCTGTGCTGGACTTCCCACTGGACAGGGGAGTGGAAGCGGTGGTAGTCCCCGGGGGCCAGGTACACCACGCAGTGGTACAGCTCCGTGCCTTCCTGCTGCAGTAGCTTCTGCTGGTACTCCTCCTCCCCCTGCACACACGGGCATGCCGTCGGGTGAAGCCCCTGACCCTCCTTGGCGGCTGCATTGTGGGACCCCTCTCGTGTCTGGGAGCGAAAATGTTGCTCCCTAGAGCGGTGCAACCTTTTGCTTCCCAGCCAAGAACCAGGTATAGCCTTGTAACAACACTTCACCGTGCACTTTTAGGACCAGGAATAATCTCCGTACCTTTAACCTTAAAATCTGGGCACAGACTTCCATTTTCACAGCCAGTCTCAACGAGAAAATGGGGCTCGTTCCCGGTAGCAGGTGCCAATCATCTTTATGTATTGCAAGCTCCATTGGCCCATATCTTTCACTAGAGACTCATGATCCAGCCGTGATTGTACGAAGACTTCGAGAATTAAAAAAAAATTTTCAATCAGTCAATGAGGAACTTATGTTCAGGTTAACTTCAGCTTTCGAAGTCAGTCTCATTTAAACTTTCACGGGCAAATTTCCGGACACCCAGACTCCACCCGTGAATTTCTTCGAGGCGACCAATGAAAAAGATGCACGGTGGCCTCGGAGATCCAGTCTGCGATGCAACAGCATTCGAATTAGGCAATGACGTGAAATGTGGGTCACGAACGAGGAATTACTGAACTAGCAGGTGCTGCGCTCAGCGCAGTGGCTCTTGCGGGTCACTCACGTTGGTGTGCAGGCAGTGGGGGTCCCAGGGGTGTGGACCGAGGAACCTCTGCAGGGAGTAGGTGATGCCCTTCACCTGCTCAGCAAAGCCTTTCTCAATGCGGCCAAAATGCAGCACCCTGCCGTCTGCTGGGCTCACCTGTCACAGGGAAAAGAGGGAGCTCAAGTCACTACATGTACACGCAGAGGAGTTGCAACCCTTTATATGCTTTTGTCACCTCCATAGTGACACACCCTTTTACAGACTTACTTCACTTCATAGTGCTATAACCCTTTACTCCCTCCACTCCACAGTGCCACTTTATTTGGGGAAAGGATTTTAATCTCCCCGATTTGGCGTGGGAGAATGGCAAAGCCAATGGCTTGGGAAACTCGCTTCATGCTTAATTCAATGCCATTCTAGAAATGTTTCATTTAACTCAACATGTCACAGACGTAACACATCTTTTAAATATTTTAGATCTATTTCGCAATTTGCCGGGAGCGATTGAAAATGTTGGCGCGATACCCGGTAGGAGGAAACGAGATATCCAGACGTCATGTGCCTCGTCGGACTCGTTCAATTTCAACCTTTTTTTTTTTAAAAATACGGCCATTGATTTGTAATATTGCCTTACGAGCAGTGCTGTAGGGATTGTAGCATCTCGCCTACAGCTCCTGCATTGTTTTCTGATATCCAAATTTCGGTTCACCATCCCTCTAAAGAATTGTTCCGTAAAGATGGCAAACTATTTTATGTGTGCTCTACAACATATCCTTAAAAAATCAAAAGCTCCTAACAGACTGGAAAATCGCAAATATGGTTTCAATACACAAATCAGGATCCAAAAACTGCATGCAAAATTACCGACCCTTTCTCTCTCTGCAAACTTGTGGAACATGTGATTTCTAGTAATCTTAGTGCTCACTTGAACATACATAATTTTTTTATCCAAGATCGGGATGGGTTTTCCGCATGCTTATCGCACCATGAAACGCGAATCTGCTGTGTCCGCAGTCTGCGGTATCCGTTCCAGTGACATGCGAGTTAGGAGCAGCTTCCTGCAATTTTTGTTTGTGATATGCGTGCACGACATTGGTTCCAGTGACACCTGAGTTTGTAGCGCATTCTGGTATGTTTATCGCAACGTTACAAGCAAATCTGCAGTGTCCGCAATCTGCGAAATCAGTTCCCATTTCTTGAGGTTTGTAGCAGCTGTCCCGGTGCTTATCACTTATTTTTTGTAAACTTTTGCTGTTACATTCTTAAATATTGTGCACTCTCCATTTATCTCTTCGTTTTGGGTAGGCGTCCATACGTTATTTTATGAAAGTCTCGCACGTCAGCTCTTTTTCTTGATTGTGCGCACAGTAAATAAAAACAATAAAGTGTGCACGGGTATGATTTAAGGTTGGTTAGCACTATCATGAGGGTTTTTCGTACTCCCAGGGTTGTCGGACTTCCCGAGTACTCTCAAAAAATCCTTGGAACTAAGCAGACCCAGAGGTTAAACTTATAATTACCGCATTGCCTCGTATGTGTAAATTGCTGGGACCGCAACCCTGCTTTGAACGAACCAGAAATTCAAATAAACCGACTAAATTACTGAAAGTCGACTGTACCACAAAATTCTGAATAACCGCACTCCCCCGAAAGGCCGCCCATCCGACAGAAACCCCCCCAAGCTGCCACGTTTCTAGCGGAAAGGGAATATACTAGGGCAGACCATACAGGCAAGACCTGCACAATCTGAATCACACAGGAATCTCTTTCCTGAGCTCACTCAAAAAAACTGACATAAAACAAGAAAAGGAACTTGTTAGTGAGCGCGTTGGTAAAGATGTAGGTTTTAGAAAGAGTTATATACGTAAAGACAGGGGACGGGACAACACATCCTTGTGTGTTGTCCCGTCCCCTGTCTTTACGTATATAACTCTTTCTAAAACCTACAAGAAAAGGAAATTCCCTGTTCCTTGCTGCCTCTTGCAAACAAACTGCAGCAACAGTTGCTCCGAATGCTCCTTGCCTTCCATAAGCGGAACATTTGGTATAGAGCGCTCACATAGGCTAGGGGCATTTGCTGCAAACAAATGTCGCCCCATCATTGTACAGTTTTCTTCCTTCAAAACAAGAGATCTTATCTTATCTTGCAAAATGCAACTAAAACCGTAGGCGTGATTGTCAGTGAAGGTTTTTCTTTTGCTACTCGTCTGGCTAGGAGAAAACTAATAGAATTTGGCAAATCCCAAGGAAGTACTTTCAAACTGCGTTTCAACAAGCTTTATCAAAATAACAACTGCTATACGTACAACCCCCAAGAAGACCGAATATGTGTGTCAACCTCATTCCAACGCTCTGAAAGAAATGTCAGCGTGCTTCCACTAATTTCAGCTCCCCTTTCTCAGCCGTCTGGCTCCGCCTAGCGGTCCGAAAGGGGCGGGGGACCAGTTAATGTGCAAGTTGTTTTTTCTAACATCCGAAGTCTGATTAAAAAACGCGATGACTTATGCTCAATGATTGACTCATGTGATGCTGGTTTAGTTGTGCTAACTGAAACTTGCCTTTCCTCTCAAGTTAAGGATTCTGAAATATTTCGTTGTAGTAAAAGTTTTGATGTTTACCGCAATGACCGCAAGGAACGTTCTGGAGGGGGAGTTTTGATAGCAGCTGAGCCTGAACTTAAATCTTTTTTGCTAAACATAAAATCTGATTTTGAAATAATATGGGTAGGTCTTTCCATTGGACACAAAAAGCTAGTATTAGGCTGCTGCTATCGTCCTCCAACAGGATAAAATACTTTTGTTGAGCAACTTCATGATGCAATTAACCTTGTCCGTGTTCGCTTTCCAAACTTACCCATTCTTCTTATGGGCGACTTTAATTATCCTGGCATCATCAGGTGTGATTTAAGCTCTTCATCGAAAAACCCCTCAACTGAATGTAACCAGTTTTTAGATCTATGTTCCGACTTTAATCTTTCGGAAATTGTAAGATTTCCAACAAGGACAACACACTCTTCTACGAACGTGCTCGACCTGATACTGACTGATACACCCGATTTAATTTCTGGTATTTTATACCTTCCTGGTCTCAGTGATCACTCGTTGCTTAATTTTTCTTTTATAACTCCAGTGTGCCGTAATACAAAACAGATCAAACAAATTCGGGATTACAAGAGGGCCAACTACGCAGCGATTAATAAAGGTCTGTGCTGTTTTTTGGAGGACTTTTTGCCAGAGCTTTGCGGGCGTTCCATTCAAACCAATTGGGATTCATATAAGAACAAAGCCATTTCTTTATTTAATGAGCACATTCCATTACGCTCAATTACAACAAACACTCAGTCTCCATGGTTCACTCCTCAACTCCGAAGGCTCTCAAATAAAAAGAAATGTTTGTTTAGAAACGCAAAGCGCATTGCCTCGGAGGAATATTGGCAACGTTATGATCTCGCAGCGAATGAATACAAAAAAGCAGTCGGGGAGGCTAAATGTTACTTTTTTAATGAGTGCCTACCATCTATGCTAATCAATAATCCTAAACAATTTTGGAGTGTAATGAATCCCAGTGTTGAGCGTTCCCTTTCACTTAAAAATAAGTCCGGTGAAATGATTCCCAATTCACTGTGTTCGACTATTCTCAATGACATCTTTTCTAGTGTATTTAATAATGTTACCGGTTCATTTTGTCCATCATATCCTTCATATGACTTTTTTCCCATGAATCCAATTGTCACTGATGAGAATGGCATTTTAAAAATTATAGAGTCAACTAGACAATCATCGTCATCTGGTGTTGACAATATTAATTCAAAGTTTCTAAAGAATACAAAAGAATATACATCATTTTGTCTAAACTATTTGAGCAATCTCTTTCACTAGGTCAGCTTCCAGACGACTGGAAAACTGGGTGATTCCACTACTCAAGACTGGAGACAAACATTCCCCGTCTAACTTTAGACCCATTTCACTCACAAGTATTTGTTGTAAAACGATGGAACATATAATTTATTCTAATCTGGTTAATTTTCTTGAATCTAATTCATTCTTCAACGTTAACCAACACGGTTTTAGGTAATCTTTTTCATGCGAGACACAACTTGTAAGACTAACAAATGATTTCCATCTGGTTCTAGATCGTGGTTCACGAATTGACAGTGTTTTTCTTGACTTCTCCAAGGCGTTTGACAGGGTCTCTCATAACCTTCTTTTTAAGCTTCACAAACTTAACATTGAACAGCATGTACTTTCGTAGATTTGCTCATTTCTGACTAATTGTTCAGTTTGTAAATTGTAATAATACCGACTCGTCCAAAGTTTCAGTAACGTCCGGAGTACCTCAGGGATCTGTGCTTGGCCCTCTTCTCTTTCTCATTTACATTAATGACTTACCATTGAATGTAACATCTTCTATTTGTTTATTTGCAGATGATTGTGTTGTATACCGCAAAATTGTTAACAGTTCTGACATCTTACTTCTTCAAAACGATCTCGATTCCATCTCAGGTTGGTGTGACACTTGGCACATGTCATTAAATGTTGACAAGTGTAAACACAAGATAATTTCCAGGCGAGTTAACGATCCTCCTTCCTATATCCTTAATAATATAACTTTAGAGCGGGTTGACACTTACAAATATCTGGGTGTTCACATCACATCTAACCTCTCATGGGAATCGCATGTTCACCACGTCATTTCCAATGCCAACCGCATGATTGGCTATCCAAAACATAATTTTTTCCAGACTCCTTCGACTTTGAAACTCTTTTTCTATAAAACACTAGTCCGGCCAAAACTTGAGTACGGTTCTGTTGTTTGGGATCCTAACACTGAGAGCCTCGTCGGCGCCTTGGAGGCTGTCCAGAATGGATCTGTGCGTTTCATTCGTTCTAATTACCATTGTACATCAAGCAAACTTCTATGAAAAAATGCCTATCCTTGCCAACTCTTTCTTTACACCGAAAGCTTTATCGATTAAGTTTATTTCAGAAAATATTTTTTCACAACCCGATCCTTAAGACTGAACTCTTACTGGAGGCATCCTACATGTCATCACGCAATGATCACATACATAAAGTCGAAATTCTACAGTGCCACACTAATACCTACTACAGATCATTCATACCTCGTACGTCTGCTGACTGGAATCACCTTTCCAC